ACTCACTGATAAGGGAAGGACACCGACGTCCTCAAGCATGGAGGGGAAAAGCTTAACGTGGGATGCGAAGGACTCCAGATTTAGCTTGTGAATAAAACGATAATCAGCGAATATGATAACTTGGACGTACCTGGGATATGGTGTGTTATTGTCCCTCGACGAGCTGTTTTTACTCACACTTACCTGGAAAAAGAAAAGGAAAAATCCTGTTGAGATTACCTGCCGTCTACCCTCCCCCCCCCCACCACACACACACACACACCTATATGATTATTTACACTTAGTTTACAGGAACAACTAAGGCAGAAGCAATGATCTTAAGCATTAGTTTATGTCAAATGGATGATTAAGAGTACTTGTTCAATATGTCAAGAACACAACAGTAGTAGTATTTAATAGTTACCTTGTGCTGGTGGTAGCGGAAGCCCTGGCGCCATACAGGGTCACCTCCTGGCACAGTCTTGACACTTTTATAATACCTTATGGTGGCACTTGACGACACCTTGCTGCATTCCATGACACACTTTACACTTTACGAAAGTTCAAGATACTTTCCAATACTTTACGACATCAATGGCACTTTACGACAGACTAGGGGGACACCACAGGGCCTTATGACATCTTTTAGACAACGTATGACACTACTGCAAGTTCCTTGGAAACTTTAAAACTATTCGAGGCTTTATGACACTATGCCACTTTATGACACAATAAAACTATGAATTTTTGCGGCACTTTAGAACATTGACACTTGACACCTTAGGACACTTAGTAGCACTTTTTCATTGTGCACTACATGTTACATTATACGACATTTATTATACTTAATGGCACTTTATCAGACCTACTGGCACTTAAAAACACTTGATAAAACTTTGGATATTATATGAATCATTGAGATAACATAACACTTTATGGCACACTAACACCTTCTGCCACTTTACGACACTTTATACCACTCTTATGACACGTATGGGTGTTTTGGGCACCCACAATTACTTTTGGATCATATGAAGATCTTCCCCCCCAAAGTATCCAACTGAAGATCCACCCCCCCCCCAGTCGCGCTCATATGAAGATCCACCTAACCTAACCTAACCTAACCTAACCTAACCTAACCTAACCTAACCTAACCTAACCTATTGAGTACATGGGCAAAATCTGACTATATATATATATACCAACACAAATGTGGTCATAGTGACGTCAGGTCAGGTAAGGTCAGGTTTGGTCATTGGTCAGGTCAGATCCTCCCATCCAGGCTTGATCATATGAAGTTCCTTACTTTTTAACACTTATAAGTCTTCATAACACAAACACTTCACATCACTTATAAAACTTCGTAACACAAACACTTTACAACACTTATAACACTTTACTACACTGACAAACAGCTGATGATACTTTTCAGTCCTCGTCAATTTCAGTTTCTTCACCGGCTCTTTGTTTATTTATAAGCCTTCGTGTCCGTCCTTACCGGCACTAAAGCAGAGACAGGACTGTGTAGGTTTAGTCTTGGATTCTTGTTAGAGGCCTCTGTTGACATTATCATAAATCCCAAACCGCGAAACGAGGCAATTCAAGACTTAAGCGACCAAACCTCGTCCCAGTGTTATAATCTATTATGTTTGTAACTAAAACAAATGCACGGATAACTTTTAGAAACAGAAATATATTGTTTATTTTTTGTTTTTAATCCTGGCTAAAGTGTTCAGAGGTAAGAGTTGACTTTACACCTTGGCTGACCACTGATTAATTACCTGGTTTGTGTGTTTCAGCAGGTGGAGGAAGGATGGACCCAGCAACGTTGTCAGTTAGGAATTTCGATGCCGCCAGACTGTGTGGCTTATGAGTGGTGTGTGTGTGTGTGTGTGTGTGTGTGTGTTCATATGTGATCACTTATGTATATATGATTTTTTCCGCCTGTGTCCATACGTATACATGTGTAAGTTCATGTGCATACAGATGAATGTGTTTCTATATTTGTATACATAAATGTGTACATTATATGTCTGTGTGTATGCATAAATGTACACATGATACTGAACTCAACAGAAGCGTGAGTGTGGGCGTGAGTGTGACGCGTGTACAACCCATCATCACCCGCCCATATTAAGCTCCTCGTCGCCCACACCCCCCGCCGCCCACACACCCGCCTTTAAGTCATAGGAACAAGTTAAGAACCTCGGGGGTTTGGAATAAGTACTTGTGTCTCGTGACTGTAGGTCCACTAAGCATCTACCCTCCCCTGCCTCCTCCCTGCCTCTACTCACACCATGTTCACACCAGAAAGGAAACAGCAGAAAGAGTTGAATAAATTACACCGTTTTAAAGATCGGCCTCAGTAAATAAAATAAATCCTCGCCTGGCTATACCATTCATCATATACCTATCCAGTACTGCCTCCTCTTCACACTCTGAGCCCCACCATGATACTGACACTACAGGTGGTTGGAAGGAAGCCCTGAGATTCATCACAGGTGAAAGATTATCCCTGTAACAGAACTACAGCCCAAGTACACAGAGACCCGGGAATAAGACCCATCAACCAGCAGCCACACACCTTGGTCAGAGGAATATGGCAACAAATAGAACGATTTAAGCAAGAACTCCAATGGAGACTCACACCAGAAAATGACAACAATCACAGATGGTCCCCCAAGAGTTACCAGACCTCAAGGAGTCCATCACTGCCCCTCATCTTCACGGCCAGACAACAGACCACCTCCCTAGACAAGAACCCGCAGCTAAGGTCCCCCCGTACATGGGGTAGGGTATAGTGCTGTCTAGTGCCAGGACCGACACAGTGGGCAGCCAACCAGACAAAACAACTCTAAGCCAACCACAATAACCTGACCAATGGATAACTTCACCAACCATTAGTATCTTAGATTATCAGTAACAATAAGGCAGTCAACTACTACCTCTTCCTCCCCATCCCCCTTCTCTCCTCTTCCCCCTTCTCTCCTCCCTCCTCTCCTCTTCCCCCTTCTCTCCTCTTACCCCTTCATCCTCCCTCCCCTCCTCTTCACCCTTCCTCCTCCCTCTCCTCCTACTCCTCCACTTCTTCAATTACCGAACTATCAATATCCTCTCTCCTCTGATCTTCTCCCACGCTCTCTTTTTCGACACACAAAAGTTACTGCTCTGTGCTCTCCCTCTCTTCCTCCATTTTCTTCCCTCTCTCCATTACCCTCGTTCTCCCTCCTTCTATCTCTCCCTCCTTCCGCTTCTACCCCTCCCTCCTTCTATCTCCCCTCCCTCTAGTGTTTAACAATAAAAAACAAAACAGAACATTCCTAGTAACAGATACTTCACGTAAATGTCAACCAAGACGTGTCAGGTGTTTGTGTAGCAACGGTTAACAGCGACAACAGGTGGGAGGGAGGAGGTGGGCGTGACCGGGTTGCCTCCACCAGCCCGTAATGAGATGTGATATGCTAATTTCCGTTTACACTACTACGTTAATTTACTTATCTAAAAGTATATGTATAAGTGTATAATAGTAAGTTGTAGGTAGTAGGCAGCTACCAAACAGGGAGGTACTACTGCCTAGGAAGATATTGGAAGCATAATGTGTTGTCTAATGGTAGACCCTGCTGCTATATGGCATCACGAAAATTGTGACCAAGTCCCAGGTTGCTGATCTGACTTTCTGCCTCATTTGCACACAATTGCAGGGTCTCAATTGTTTCTCTTACTTTGACAACACAACATACATACAGTATATTGTTTCTCACTATTGATTTTTTATTTTTTGCATTTCTTTGTGGTTCTTTATCATTATTATTATTATTAGTGTTATTATTATTATTAGTAGTATCATTGTTATTTTATTTTTAATTTTGTATTTTGTATTATAAATTTTATTTACTATGAATTATGATTATTTTATTTTTAATTTTGTATTTTTATTAGAAATTTCATTTAATATGAATTATTATTATTATTATTATTATTATTATTATTAAATTTTCGCCCCCAAGGCCCTGATGTGGGTCCATGACCTGTGCCCGGGTGGGCTGATCCCAAAAAAAATGTATACTTACTAATGATGATGATGATGATGATGATGATGATGATGATGATGATAATAATAATAATAATCTACCGTGAAGGAGTGGTCTCTAGCATGGATGTATAGGGTCCTGATTGAGATAGAAAATGGTGAGAGATTGAGAGAGAGAAAGGTGAGAGATTGAGACTAGAGAAAGTGATTAACCTACAAGAATGGTGTAGGGAGAAAGATGATGAACGAGAAAGAGAGAGAGAGAGAGAGAGATAAGCCTGTGTTACAGTGAAGGGTCACTGACTCGGGATGATCCTCTTACTTGGAAAATAAAATAAATTGAGTCCTCTTACACACATAACTCAAAGGGTTGATCATCTACATGTTTACCTGCGCGTGGAAATTTGCCTTAAAGATGAAAATACTTGATATACATACATACAAAAACACATATACATACATATTATACATAATGAAACACGTATATAAACTCGTACTTTACATAACACTCATTAGCTTACGTTCACACACCGAGAGAGTTATAGTCCCCAGGTGAGGTCTCTACCCCCCCACCTCCCCCCCCTCAAGCTCCTCCGGTGGTAAAAAATAATAATATGCCTTGGTATAAAAGTTCACCATGATCCGTTTGTTGACAAGTATTGGGATGAGTAGCGACCCGTATAACACGGCTAAGAGTGAATGACCCGGAGAGTGTACTTACCTGCCCTACAACAACAACAACAACAACAACAACAACAACAACAATAACAATATTAATAATAATAATAATAATAATAATAATAATAATAATAATAATAATAATAATAATAATAATAATAATAATAATAATAATAATAATAATAATAAACCAGTGTGTTAGATCATTAATAAGGGAATATTTATTCTATCTGGCAACTGTCCTCACCTGTGTGGCGGGAGCAGAGAGAGAGAGAGAGAGAGAGAGAGTATATAAGCGAGCGATGTGATGCTGCAGCGTTAATCTGGTCTACGCTCGGGCACGGATAAGTATAACCTCCTCGTGTTTCGGGTGAGATACAATCGTGTGTTTTAGATATTGAGATAATATGCTAAGAAAAACAAAACAAAATAGCGTAATAACCAATATGGATTTCACGTTATTGTCAAGTCTGTTTGGGTTTTTTTCAATGTTGTGGTATTTGGTGTTTGTGAAATATCATAAATTCGTTTGTGTTCGGTCAAAGTTGTGTGTTGTAGTGTATATTTATTTATGTAAGGTGTTTTATCAGTCGTGTCAGCCGCCTTAGTGTACAGCCGTCCACCACAACACAAACAGCCACTAGGACAGAGCTGTGTATACCTGTTCAGTGTTCTTCAGCTTATACTGTAGCTCTGGGTGCTGAGCCCCTGATGTGTTGTGGTGGTGAAGGGGCGGAAGACCTGGGTGGAGGGTGGGGGTGAGGCACGTAGAGGGTGGGTGAAGAGGGTGTTAGTCGCCGGGTGTAACTTTGTTGTGTAAAACTATAGAATCTGTCTCACGTGTTCCTTCCTCCCTCCAGACAATTAGAGAGGAGGACTTGTCTATCTAACCGACCGTCTATAAGCCAGCCAGAAACCCGCCCAGTGATGAGAGCTTTTGTAAGTTATTATTGTATTTTTTAATGGTTTATCTCGTGAGTTTTTAGTCTCTCTCTCTCTCTCTCTCTCTCTCTCTCTCTCTCTCTCTGTCTGTCTCTCTCTCTGGAAATGTTAAAAACCCTTGACCCATTTTATTAACACATGATGACCTGACGTGACCCCCATTCCTGCAGGTAGTGGTGATAGCGGTGGTGGTGGTGGTGGTGCTGGAGTTGGGGTCATCAAGGGCGTCTCGAAGGACCTACCCGACGAGTGAGGAGGAGCCCCGTCGGCGCCTATGCGGGTGGAGGCTGGCCAACAAGCTCAATCTGGTGTGTAAAGGCGTGTATAACAACCCAGGGTCTACCGGTAACTACCTCTTCTACAGGAGCAGACGAGGTGGGTCCTGTCACACACACACACACACACACACACACACACACGCACATATTACCTTCATGTGGTGGTGGTGGTGGTGGTAACACACTTAATTTCGTTTTCTTTGGTTGATCAGAATCATCATAACAAAAACATTCGTTATCTTCATTATGTCATCTATATTATCGTACAAACAAATACATACACTCTAGTCGTATTATTTACCCCGTATGTTTCATCTAAATTTTATGACAAATATACATAATTTATCTTCGTTTATGTTTTATCTACATCATCCAAAGTGAGTGACTGAGAGGGCGGATATAAGGTGATGGTGGGATACATGAGGGAAGGACATCTATAACAGAGAAATAAAGGAGGTGAATGATGATGAGGTTCAACTGAAGGGACTTGCAAGAGGCGGGAATAGCGAGATAAGGAAAGACATATTGTTGCATCTTGGTATTAAAACAGGGACATGGTGGACTAGATGTTCAGAATCAGTTTAAGTCATTTGTTATACATTATTAATATGAGGTCATTTGTTTGTGCCAGTAGACGGGGAGAGTGAGCCGGGGCTGCCACCAGAGAAGTACCTGGACCTGTTGGCAGACCCAGAGGAGGAGAGAGGGCTGAGGCACCATTACTTAACCTCCTCACAACAAGCCTCTGAGGACACCCCCAGTGAGGAAAATGAAGCACCTGGGAGCTTCTTTGGGTCTCTCTCTCCTCAGGACTTGCCTCACCAATCTGCCGTACAAGAAGATGAAGCCTCGAGTGTCCACTTCCCATTTCTGACAGAGGAGGAGGCGTCTCAGATGGTCAGGGTGAGGCCGCGGTCCAAAAGAGGATTGTCGGCTGAGTGTTGCCGGAAGGTGTGCACAGTGTCGGAGCTGGTGGGCTACTGCTACTGACCTGCACCCTCACAGTGCTCAGTTCATGACGGGTATCATGGTGAATCTAGTCATAGAATTAATAGCCTAAACTCTTTTGTGTCCTAGTAAAATATTTATGACATTTATGAAGCGGAAAACTTGATTTAACACTTGGCGACTTGTGTAGAAAAGAGCAACGGTATGGTGAAGTCATCAACGAATAGAAGTGAATCCCATAAAATAGTTGTCTGACATACACAACAGACAATATTATAATGTGTAACTTATTTCTTAGTGTTGTGGAATATTTAATGGTACATGAAACACTACAGGAGTACTTATAACACTACAGGAGTACTTATAACACTACAGGAGTACTTATAACACTACAGGAGTACTTATAACATTACATGAGTACTTATAGCACTACAGGAGTACTTATAACACTACAGGAGTACTTATAACACTACAGGAGTACTTATAACATTACATGAGTACTTATAACACTACAGGAGTACTTATAACACTACAGGAGTACTTATAACATTACATGAGTACTTATAGCACTACAGGAGTACTTATAACACTACAGGAGTACTTATAACACTACAGGAGTACTTATAACACTACAGGAGTACTTATAACACTACAGGAGTACTTATAACACGACATGAGTACTTATAGCACTACAGGAGTACTTATAACACTACAGGAGTACTTATAACACTACAGGAGTACTTATAACACTACAGGAGTACTTATAACACTACAGGAGTACTTATAACACTACAGGAGCACTTAAAACACTACAGGAGTACTTATAACACTACAGGAGTACTTATAACACTACAAGAGTACTTATAACACTACAGGAGTACTTATAACACTACAGGAGTACTTATAACACTACAGGAGCACTTATAACACTACAGGAGTACTTATAACACGCTCTATCGGATACTCCTCACAGGTGGAAGTAGGTAGATGACTGCACTGTGGGGGTTTCAGTGGACAACACCGCACCAGACTACTTATCGCTACAAGGCATCATGGACAGGCTACAGGCATGGACCACAGAGAACAAGGTCACCATCAACCACACCAAAACCGTAGTCATGCACATCAATACCGCCACCACTCCAGTGCAAGCCCCAGCAGTCACAGTGGGTGCCCATCCTCTCCAGCTGGTGCAGTCTGCCAAACTCCTGGGTGTAACTATAGACAACAAACTGGACTGCAAGGCCCATGTAAATAACACAGTCAAGGCTGCCTCGTACCGTCTCTACATGCTACGACGACGTAGGTCACTTGGGACACCCACGCCAGAGCTGAGGACCATCTACAACGCCTTTATTCTCCCCAAACTAACGTATGCGTCACCAGCCTGGTCGTCTTCTCTCAACTCCACCCAACAACGTCAGATATAGAAGGTACAGAAAAGGGCCTGCAGAATCATACTCGGCGCAGAATACTCCGGCTACACCAACGCTCTCTCCACCCTGGAAATGCCATCCCTCAGTAACCTCCACCAACAAGCACTGGAAAGGTTTGGCAGTGGACTACTGCACCACCCTCGTCATCGCCACCTCCTGCCACCTGCAGCCCCCCACCCAACTCGCGCAGTCCGCCACTACAACAAAATTCAGCCCATAAGAGCCCGCACCGATAGATATAAGAACAGCACCATCCCATCTATTGTTAAAATAATAAACAACTCCTGATTTATGTACTGTACAGCCCTGTAAATGTATTCAATGCATATTATATCATTATGTTTAAATCAAATGTAAGTCTGTATATTTTCAGCCACCGGCTGCAACTCTATTAATAAACCGTTTATTTATTATTATTATTTATTATTTATAACACTACAGGAGTACTTATAACACTACAGGAGCACTTATAACACTAGAGGAGTACTTATAACACTACAGGAATACATATAACACTACAGGAGTACTTATAACACTACAGGAGTACTTATAACACTACAGGAGTACTTATAACACTACAGGAGTACTTATAACACTACAGGAGTACTTATAACACTACAGGAGTACTTATAACACTACAGGAGCACTTAAAACACTACAGGAGTACTTATAACACTACAGGAGTACTTATAACACTACAAGAGTACTTATAACACTACAGGAGTACTTATAACACTACAGGAGTACTTATAACACTACAGGAGCACTTATAACACTACAGGAGTACTTATAACACGCTCTATCGGATACTCCTCACAGGTGGAAGTAGGTAGATGACTGCACTGTGGGGGTTTCAGTGGACAACACCGCACCAGACTACTTATCGCTACAAGGCATCATGGACAGGCTACAGGCATGGACCACAGAGAACAAGGTCACCATCAACCACACCAAAACCGTAGTCATGCACATCAATACCGCCACCACTCCAGTGCAAGCCCCAGCAGTCACAGTGGGTGCCCATCCTCTCCAGCTGGTGCAGTCTGCCAAACTCCTGGGTGTAACTATAGACAACAAACTGGACTGCAAGGCCCATGTAAATAACACAGTCAAGGCTGCCTCGTACCGTCTCTACATGCTACGACGACGTAGGTCACTTGGGACACCCACGCCAGAGCTGAGGACCATCTACAACGCCTTTATTCTCCCCAAACTAACGTATGCGTCACCAGCCTGGTCGTCTTCTCTCAACTCCACCCAACAACGTCAGATATAGAAGGTACAGAAAAGGGCCTGCAGAATCATACTCGGCGCAGAATACTCCGGCTACACCAACGCTCTCTCCACCCTGGAAATGCCATCCCTCAGTAACCTCCACCAACAAGCACTGGAAAGGTTTGGCAGTGGACTACTGCACCACCCTCGTCATCGCCACCTCCTGCCACCTGCAGACCCCCACCCAACTCGCTCAGTCAGCCACTACAAAAAAATTCAGCCCATAAGAGCCCGCACCGATAGATATAAGAACAGCACCATCCCATCTATTGTTAAAATAATAAACAACTCCTGATTTATGTACTGTACAGCCCTGTAAATGTATTCAATGCATATTATATCATTATGTTTAAATCAAATGTAAGTCTACATATTTTCAGCCACCGGCTGCAACTCTATTAATAAACCGTTTATTATTATTATTATTTATTATTTATAACACTACAGGAGTACTTATAACACTACAGGAGCACTTATAACACTAGAGGAGTACTTATAACACTACAGGAATACATATAACACTACAGGAGTACTTATAACACTACAGGAGTACTTATAACACTACAGGAGCACTTATAACACTAGAGGAGCACTTATAACACTACAGGAGCACTTATAACACTACAGGAGTACATATAACACTACAGGAGTACTTATAACACTACAGGAGTACCTATAACACTACAGGAGTACTTATAACACTACAGGAGTACTTATAACACTAGAGGAGCACTTATAACACTACAGGAGTACATATAACACTACAGGAGTACTTATAACACTACAGGAGTACTTATAACACTAGAGGAGCACTTATAACACTACAGGAGTACTTATAACACTACAGGAGTACATATAACACTACAGGAGTACTTATAACACTACAGGAGTACTTATAACACTACAGGAGCACTTATAACACTAGAGGAGCACTTATAACACTACAGGAGTACATATAACACTACAGGAGTACTTATAACACTACATGAGTACTTATAACACTACAGGAGTACTTATAACACTACAGGAGTACTTATAACACTACAGGAGCACTTATAACACTAGAGGAGCACTTATAACACTAGAGGAGCACTTATAACACTACAGGAGTACATATAACACTACAGGAGTACTTATAACACTACAGGAGTACTTATAACACTACAGGAATACTTATAACACTACAGGAGTACTTATAACACTAGAGGAGCACTTATAACACTACAGGAGTACATATAACACTACAGGAGTACTTATAACACTACAGGAGTACTTATAACACTACAGGAGTACTTATAACACTACAGGAGCACTTATAACACTAGAGGAGCACTTATAACACTAGAGGAGCACTTATAACACTACGGGAGCACTTATAACACTACAGGAGTACTTATAACACTACAGGAGTACTTATAACACTACAGGAGTACTTATAACACTACAGGAGTACCTATAACACTACAGGAGTACTTATAACACTACACAGGAGCAATTTATAACACTACAGGAGTACTTATAACACTACAGGAGTAATTTATAACACTACAGGAGTACTTTTATAACACTACAGGAGTACTTATAACACCACAGAGTACTTATAACACTACAGGAGTATTTCAACACTCTACAGGAGCATTATAATAATTACAGGAGTACTTATAACACTACAGGAGTACTTATAACACTAGAGGAGCACTTATAACACTACAGGAGTACATATAACACTACAGGAGTACTTATAACACTACAGGAGTACTTATAACACTAGAGGAGCACTTATAACACTACAGGAGTACTTATAACACTACAGGAGTACATATAACACTACAGGAGTACTTATAACACTACAGGAGTACTTATAACACTACAGGAGCACTTATAACACTAGAGGAGCACTTATAACACTACAGGAGTACATATAACACTACAGGAGTACTTATAACACTACATGAGTACTTATAACACTACAGGAGTACTTATAACACTACAGGAGTACTTATAACACTACAGGAGCACTTATAACACTAGAGGAGCACTTATAACACTAGAGGAGCACTTATAACACTACAGGAGTACATATAACACTACAGGAGTACTTATAACACTACAGGAGTACTTATAACACTACAGGAGTACTTATAACACTACAGGAGTACTTATAACACCACAGGAGTACTTATAACACTACAGGAGTACTTATAACACTACAGGAGTACTTATAACACTACAGGAGTACTTATAACACTACAGGAGTACCTATAACACTACAGGAGTACTTATAACACTACAGGAGTACTTATAACACTACAGGAGTACTTATAACACTACAGGAGTACCTATAACACTACAGGAGTACTTATAACACTACAGGAGTACTTATAACACTACAGGAGTACTTATAACACCACTTTTAAGTAATAAAGCTTAACAGACATCAGTTTGTTTCCCCTGGCCTGGTCTCTCCCCCCTCCCCTGGACTGGTCTCTCTCCCCCTCCCCTTGGCCTGGTCTCCTGTCCCCCTGACCTGGTCTGCCCCTCCCACTGGCCTGGTCTTTCCCCCTTTCCCTAGACTGGTCTCTCCCCCGGCCTGGTCCTCCCACTGGCCTGGTCTCCCCGGCCTGGTCTCTCCTCTCCCCCGGCCTGGTCTCTCTCCCACTGGCCTGGTCTCCCCACTGGCCTGCTGGTCTCCCTTCTTTCAGCCTGCCCCCTCCCCACTGACTGAAGCTCCCCTGGCCTGGTCTTCCCCCTCCCTGGCCTGGTCTCTTCCCTCCCCCTGGCTTGGTCTCGCCCCCTTTCCTTCGCTTTCTCATGACCTCCCAGGAAATCCTTAATTATGGCCACTTACCAAACCTAACCTAACCTAATCTGGCCTGGTCTCTTCCCTCCCCCTGGCTTGGTCTCTTCCCTCCCCCTGGCTTGGTCTCGCCCCCTTTCCTTCGCTTTCTCATGACCTCCCAGGAAATCCTTAATTATGGCCACTTACCAAACCTAACCTAACCTAATCTGAGGTATGTCACACTATCTCAACCCAAACCTAACCAATTGACCAATCCCTCGCGGTAGACCTGAAAAAGTAATAAACTTGTTGTCTCGAAAAGTCTCAAGCAAAAATCCAAGACCACCGAGACCGAGAACTGAGCACCCGAGAGGAGTGGAACAGGGTCACCTTCTCTCCCAGTGTCCTCTGTTCCTCTCCGTTCCATCAATAGGTGCTCATATCCTCACTGTGGTCACTGCCTGCTGGGTCACTGCCTGCTGGGTCGGTGTCTGCTGGTTCACTGTCTGCTGGGTCACTGTCATGTCCAGCTAAACTTTTCCCAACAGATCAAAGTTATAATCCACTTTCTGCACCAGTCAGTTGCTGGTGGCGGCTGTCAACCTTGGCAGCATAACATTACGGATTTCCGAAAAATAACTTAAACTGCTCACCTGAGGTTCAATCACCCCACCGCTACCTTGGGAAATGGGAGCAAGAATCTCCAGGTGATCCTAATGAAACAAGTCTGTGTGATAATAAGGATCTTTAATGAAGGAGTTTTGTAATTAATGATGAAAGAATAAGTTCAATGGTAAATAAATACTAAATATTCTGTATGTAGATAACAGCTGATATGACAGATAACAGGAATGAAGGGATAATACTAGAGATATTAAGGGGATATAATTGAGGGTAGAAGGCCAGGGAAGAGAAGGGAATGGGGGTGGATGATCAAAATTAAAAGCTGGAGTGATGCAAAATTTGGGAAGATTGGTGTAGAGTGTCCCGAAAATATGTGTGCGTGTGTGTGTATGTGTGTGTATGTGCGTGTGTGCGTGTGTGTGTATGTATGTGTATGTGTATGTGTGTGTGTGTGTGTGTGTGTGTGTGTGATGGAAGACTTCAACAAAGAGTCGTTTTACCATCACCGAGTCACAGCCATTTCTCCCCCTTCAGGCTACGGGTGAAGTGACTGCCTTTGACAAGCCCCAAGGAAGTAGGTAGTGTCGTGTGTGTGACAGTGTGTGTGTGTGTTAGTGTGTTCCCGACAGATCCAGATTACACCGAGGTCATCTCTCCTCCGCCACCTCTCTCCTCCTGTCGGTGTGGTAGAGACATAATAAAAACAATTTGCCTCTTCTACCTTTTTTCATCAGAGAGAGAGAGAGAGAGCACTTATCAACAGAGTTTCACTTCTAGATAATCACGAAAAGCATATTTATAAAAACAAAAAACAATCCCACATATATATTCTATTCTGCTGTGTTATTACCTTCTTCTCACCTGGGGGACAAATGAAACGACATGGCAGAAGATAAACAAGGAAAGAAGAAAACACCTTCAGCAGTCTGGTTTAGATATGTAGATGATGTATTATGTCTCTGGCCAAGTAATGAGGACCTAAAAGCTTTCCTGCCACAACTTAATAACTTGGCCCCCTCGATCAAATTCACTGTGGAATTAGAGCATGACTGTAAATTGCCTTTCCTAGACTGTCTGATACACAGAATAGGTAACACTTTTAAGTTCAGTATTTATAGAAACCTACTAATGTGTGTTCATACATTCATTATTATTCTGCCCCTCATAATAGAGTCAAACAGTCAGTATTTTCAACAATGTTTTTACGTGCCTTGAGAATTTGCAGCCCGGAATTCATTGATGAGGAATATAATTATATCTATAATATTGGCTCAAACCTTAAATACCCTAGATCTTTCATAGACAAATGCCTGAACATTACTAAGAAATCTTTTTATAGAACTGATCCCAAGCCCACCCACTCTTAGTATTACCATTTCACAAAAATTTCTCTCAAATTCCTTTACAACTAAAAACCTGGAACGTCAATGTGGCATTTAATAACTCATGCACTGTTAAACAAATGTTAATCAAGAACTCCCCCAACAACACAATTGGTTGCATTCATAAAGTTCCTTGCAAGGAATGTAATATGTTTTACTTAGACCAGACAGGTAAAGATCTTGTAACTAGACTTAAACAACATAAATATAGTGTTAGGACAGGCCAGGAATCCAATGCTCTGTTTGTTCATTTGAGGGATAACAAGCATTGCATTGACTGGGATAATGCCTCCTCAATATTACCTTGTAATTCAATTGACAGTAGGAACATCATAGAATCTAGTCTTATTAAACATACCGAAGCATTCAACATGAATTTGAGTAATGGCATGTACAAACTGGACAATTTTGTAATTAAGAAGATTTGTAACCAGGTGAGAAGGTTGGGTCACCTTACCCTCTGACCTGACTACCGACCGTTGCGGTGCTATTTAAAGATTAGTAGGGTCATTACCTAATACCTGACCGTTGTGGACCTGATCTCACCCTCCGTTGTATATGTACACCTTGTTTTGTACTTCTCCTTAGTCTGTACTCACCCCTGAAGATGTGAATTACACGAAAGCGCTTGGGAACTTCGTGTTTTCTTCTTTCCTTGTGGTTATCAGCATATATATATATATATATATATATATATATATATATATATATATATATATATATATATATATATATATATATATATATATATATATATACACACTAATGAACTTCTACAGCATATATATATATATATATATATATATATATATATATATATATATATATATATATATATATATATATATATATATATACACTAATGAACTTCTACAGGTGATGGAAGATTTAATTACCACATAGTAAAGTTTGATACCTGTAAGTGGTAAATATTGTAGGTATATTTTATATGCATCTTTCTTTTTTTTGTATGTTTTATTCTTATAATTAACTGAATACAAATAATAGCTTTCTTCATTGATCGTGGGAGAGGAAATTCGTCGTATTAGATGTCATGAAAATATAATACCCGGTACTAGAAGGATCCCCCAAACCTGTGAATATTGTAAAAAATATTTAAATCTTTTCAAACTATATAAGAATCAGGTTTTGTTTTTCGTTTTTTAGAAGAAGAAATATATTATGTTAAGGTGTTCAAATTACCCACAATTATCACCTAAACAGAGACGTTAATAACTCTTTTTATGTGATCTTTACCAATAGTAGAGTAGTATCATGTAATACTTGAGTTACCCCTGACACAATGTCGTTTTCTTTCCGCCAGAAATATTTTATAGCCAGGACTAAGGTAAATATTTTAACCCTATACCAGTAAGGTTAAAATGTGCTATTTATTTAGATGACAACTTATTAGCCTTCTTGCCAGATGATGATGGAAGAAATTTGGGTTTAGTTTGAAGTTAATTCTTCGTGTGTGTGTGTGTGTGTGTGTGTGTGTGTCCATATACTGTCCCTCTTCCTCCTCCATCCTCTACATGTGGTGTTTACTTGATGGTGTACTTGAAAGACACGCCCTTGGTCAACCTCCTCTGCCCATGGTAAGTTATAAACAGAGAGTTACTACTAAAGGTGAGTGTTCGGTTCCCCTCGTTACAGTAAATGGTGCTGTTGGAGGATGGATAAGCCTTACTCCCAGCGCCGTTCAGGACAAGGTAGTCCCCTCTACAGCGTTTGGTGGTGGCGACGCGTGTGTGAAGGTAGTCCAGTTGTATGGTCTTGCCCTCGGGAGCCTGAGTGATGGAAGTGGATGGTTAGGTTAGGTTAGGTTAGGTTAGGTTAGGTTAGGTCAGACCGTGAGGTGGTTGATAATGACTGAAAACATAAATAAGAGAAAGATAATAATGAAATACGTCAATCTATTTATTTATCTATCTGTCTATCTATTTTTCTATCTATCTGTGTGGTTGTGTAAGAGGAGAGCCGCACACACTCACCATGATCCACCACTCACACTGGGTGGCTGAGGCGCGCGTCCCAGTGTTGTAGTCTGGTGAGCTGATGGTGTCGCTGCTGCCACTCTCCGCCCTGATCACCTGCACCACACACAACACACACCAGTTGTTAGTAATACTGTAGTAGTAATAATAATATAAATAATAATTCAAGTTTTTTATGTTTGTGAAGAAGACGTTCACTTTTGGGCTAACATGAAGATTACCCCCCGCCAGATCAATTCACCTGATGATTAAATTGTGTAACGCTACCTGGGAGGGGGTAGTTTAGGTTAGTGCTAGTGTTATAGTGGAGTAACAAAAGAGGTTTTCAGTTAATTTTGGGGGAAAAGTTTGGTTTCACTTATGAACTGATAGAATGGAACCCAACTAAGAATTTACCGAAGGGACATAACATCCCCCCCCACCCCCCCAAAAAAAAATTATATATATATATATATATATATATATATATATATATATATATATATATATATATATATATATATATATATATATATATATATATATGCAAAAATAAATAAAAATGCTCCCTTTGGGGCTGGAGGTGGGGGGCGGGGGGTGGTCCTGAACGGGGACGAAGTGTAAATGCTATTTCTTTAGAATGGATAGTCCGACTGAGACCATTGAGGTACTGAGTGCTATGTGACCTGTGTCAACCTATTTCGCCTGTATCACCTCTGGGTAGTCATCAATGTAAGCTTAAAGATCTTAGTTGTTGTAATTATACATTATAACCTCACCATCAGTATAAGCTGAGACTCAGAGCCATTACTCTCAATAAGCTTACTGACAGAGGCGAGGCTTCACCTTGTGGCAAGTCGTCTGTTCCCGGCAGATGGTGATGTTGAAGCCTATATCTTTGTAGCGTCTGCTGGTCTTAAACACCAAACTGTTATAGGCGCTCGGTACACTGTAAGTCCAATTGGTTTTACCAGCGTATCTGTACAGGTGAGAAGTGTTTATTACCAGGGCTGAATACCTTTACTCTCACACACAGACGGAAATTATTTCACCTGAAGTTAACTAATATCAATGAAATAAACTTGTCAACAACCAAGTCGAAAATATACAAGTATTTTTTGTTTACCTAGCTGTGTACATGAACACAGTTGATCAATAAACAAAATAACGATATAACAACATAAAAGATGGTGAGAGATTTAGTTCACTTGCCTCCTCCTCTTCCCGTACAAGTAATTGAGCTGAACAGTGTCACCCCTGGCTAGTTTGAAGGTGTTGGCTGTGATGACCACTCGAGCTGGCTGGTCCTGTGAGGAGACGTAAGAGTTACTACCTAGGAGATACTACCGTAGGAGATACCATCCTAGGAGATACCACCCTAGGAGATACTACCCTAGGAGATACCACTCTAGGAGACACCTCTACACCTGACACACACGGTACACCTTTACACCTGACATAAAACACAAATGCTGCATTTTCAAAGACCCAATAAGTATATACTGTATATATACGTAAGAACGGTCAGCCCCACCCCCCTCCCATTATCTATTTTCTCTCTTCTCGTTTTCTACAGGAGAGACTATGGGATAAAAATGAATTTGACATACTGGGCGTGGAATTATTTATCCATCTTGTTTCTGTTTACTTTGTCTACCATAAACAACATAGTAAATACTGATAATAACAAGAGAAGGTGAATCTGTTTACCGTCTTGCCATTGAATGTACAGTCGAAGTTGTTGGGGTATTTCTTTGTGTTGAAGTTTGGCGAAGACCAGAGGTCACAGTCACCTGAGGAGTCAACTTCACATCGAGGTCCTGAAGGGGTGGTGGTGGTGGTAGGAGTGGTAGCAGTGGTGGTAGGAGTGGTAATAGTAGTAGTAGATGTAGTAGTAGTAGTAGTGGGTGTAGTAGTCATTGCAGTAATATCAGTGACGATAGATTGGGCTGAACCTACAGATCTGTAATGTATATATACAAACAAAACATCAGTACCCCCCTCCTAACAAGTCAACAAAAACAACATACTTAAGACAAAAAACAATCATGGCGTTTATATCAGTGTAACACCCACTAACAAAGCACAGGTGAGAGAGGAAGGTTACAGGTGTACTCACGAACAAGTTCCACTCTTCACGAACGACACAGCGGCGGCCCATCCCTTGTGTTCATCAGTACGGCTTGAGAAATACACGACCATCTCCCTCTCACTGCTTGTTATGTTCTGTCCCGGGGATATATCTCTCTCGCAGTAATATCTGAGAGAGAGAGAGAGAGAGTTGAATGCTATGAATATGGAAGGCGCTCACTAAAACACACACACACACACCTTCCCTACTTCTCTATCCATAGCTCGGTTGACTCCTCTCGTCTATCTACCTATCTATCTATCTATCTATCTATCTATCTATCTATCTATCTCACCACCACCTCCTCTCCTCCTCCACCTTACCTTATATCACCAGGTTCTCCTTCGTCAGGTATCTCCATGATGGCCAGGACGTCGTAGCGACAACAAGGTCTTTCCCTACAGGTTTCTCGGCGGTACAGTGAGAAGTCGTTGAAGGTAAGCCGAGGGACGTGGCACTCTGAGGCTCTGATGACCTTCACGCACTCTGAGCCTGAGGGGGAGAGACTCTGTTGTCATGGTTACCTCTAGCATGAGTCTGTGTTGCCATGGTTACCTCTAGTGTGAGTCTGTGTTGTCATGGTTACCTCTAGCGTGAGTCTGTGTTGCCACGGTTACCTCTAGCATGAGTCTGTGTTGCCATGGTTACCTCTAGTGTGAGTCTGTGTTGTCATGGTTACCTCTAGCGTGAGTCTGTGTTGTCATGGTTACCTCTAGCGTGAGTCTGTGTTGTCATGGTTACCTCTAGCGTGAGTCTGTGTCGTCATGGTTACCCCTATAGTCTGTGTCGTCCCCTAGTGTGAGTCTGTGTTGTCATGGTTACCTCTCGCGTGAGTCTGTGTTGTCATGGTTACCCCTAGTGTGAGTCTGTGTTGCCATGGTTACCTCTAGCGTGAGTCTGTGTTGTCATGGTTACCTTTAGCGTGAGTCTGTGTTGTCATAGTTACCTCTGCGTGAGTCTGTGTTGTCATGGTTACTTTTTAGCGTGAGTCTGTGTCGTCATGGTTACCTCTAGTGTGAATCTGTGTTGTCATGGTTACCTCTAGCGTGAGTCTGTGTTGTCATGGTTACCTCTAGTGTGAGTCTGTGTTGCCATGGTTACCTCTTAGCGTTTTCTAGGTTAGTACACACACACACCTTACCTGCAGAGAGAGAGAGAGAGAGAGAGAGAGAGAGAGAGACGTCCACCTCACCTGCCGGATAGTTCAGGGGATAATTAGGTGAGGAGATGTTACCAGCTTCCGTGATGACCTCAGAACAACTGGAGACTGCGTAATCTGTCAGGATAGATATTTCTGTCTTAAGTTCTTCTGTTTCGTTTATTGACATTAAGACGTCACTACTTGTAAACAAAATCACAAATACTTCAACATTAACATAGTAAACAACGACGACAATTACCGTAATATTTGGTGAGGTTAACTTGGCAGTAATCGCCTGAGGTACCTGGAGGACACACACACGTACAGTCGATCCCCGTATAGCCGTAGTTCTGGCACGGCTCTGAGGTAAGTCCACACTGATCCAACCACTTGCCTGTAGGTAAAGGTACACGTCACATACAGCAAGAAACACCAACAGATTACTTTTAAGTCCAAATAAAGGTTTTTGTTTATGTGGAAAAAATTATAAAACAAACAACTTTATACCTTTGTTAGTCTTTGCTGAACACCTGTACGAGTCTTTATTACAAACACAACAACAAACAACAATATGAAAGTGGTACATGACAGACGGCACCATAACAAAGACACAGACACACACACACACACACACACACACCGGTGCAGTTGTACATGAGGTTGGCCCGTAGTTTATCGTAATGCGACAGGCCATCACGCTGTCCAATGATTCCCTGGGCCAGTGGGTCGAGGGTGATGATGGTGAGGGAGCGGTTGAAGGCGCCGTACTGCCAGGCGTGTAAGAGAGAGAGAGAGAGAGAGAGAGAGGAGGGTTGTTACTACATGAACCAGGTAAAGTAGATAATTAGAGCCTAACTATCATTAACTAGTTATCATAAGTCTGTGTTTGGAGTCCAGGTGTGTGTACAAAAGAGCTTAGGTTGGTATAGGTTAGGTTAGGTTAGGTTAGGTAGCCGATTAATTATTGAACTCATATTTAACTGTAAACTTTAATTAATATGTTGAGAGTTAAGTTACTGTACCATAACGTTCCTTCCCTAACCTAAACTAACCTACTGTAACTATACCCTTCAATAGATGTGGACCCATGACTCGCAATAATATACAGGGTGATGCAGCAACACAAAAACTTCCATCGGTGCTGAAATAAGTCACATGAGAAGAGGTTTTTGTCTCACCCTGTTACTGTTGTGCATGATGGAGGTGAAGTCATAGGGCAGACTGAAGTTATCGACCGTGTAGTGAAGATGTTTCTGAAACTTAAAGAGGTCTTCCTTGTTAATGTTGTCCTCCATGATGTAGATGTACTGATCACGGTCTGGTCGGATGTGCTCGTGGTAAAAGCCGATAGCGTGACCAAGTTGGTGAGCGACCTGGCCAAGCTGAGAGGAGGAGGAGGCGAGGGGGGGTGTTAGGGTGGTAGAACAAGGCAACACCATTCTTTCTTTCCTTCCTTCCTCACTCACACCACATCACATTCACACAGTTCACCACATTATCTATATACTTGTTGAATCAATGTAAACTTGTAAGATGATTTTAAAGAATATCTATCTATCTATCTATCTATCTATCTATCTATTGACAATGACAATTAAGAAAAGAAAGTGAAGAAACCTTATCTAATCATGAACTGTTAAAAAATATGGGAGGGTTAGGTTAGGTTAAGTTAGGTTAGAAAAAAAGACAATATTAACATGTGACTGACTCACCTGAGCACAGCCATCACCTAAGGACAGTGCCTGACCCTGCCAGGTGTGTTGGCGTCCCACAAATGACCAACAACCATCACCGTGGATAAACTTGAGGTGTGGCTGGTCCATATCTGTCGTCTCAACAAAGGTGATGCAGGTGTGTGCCATCCAGTAGTTCAGGCCTTCACGGATTGCCTTCTTATCATCTGAAAAATAGATATGTTTATAATAAATAATAATAATAATAATTAACGGTTTATTGAAAGAGCTTGGCAGCCAGAAGGCTGAAAATATACAGTTACATATTTGGGGAATGGGTTACGAATTACAAATAATATACAAGTGACATAAGTGACACAAATAAGACATATAGTAACTTAGATGGGGATCAGCTCAAAATACAGTTCATTTCAACATAGTGACAGTGTAGGGAGCAGTGTTTCCTGGGAGTGAATACACTGATTTATTACATGTTATTGATAATTTTTACAATGGTTGGGACTGGGCTGTTCTTATAGCGACTGCCCGTACGAAGGGGCTGGATGTGTGCTGAACAGCACTCCCTGACAGGGATCTCAGGTAGTAGGGGCCGAAAATGGGGATGGTGTGTGGCTTCTACCAAATTTGCAGATGAGTGGCTGTGGTGATGGTCAGTGAGAGAGTCGAAAGGCACAAAGGAGCGCTCTTGATATGTGTGGAGAAGGGGAGAGGAATAACTTTGCATGTGCCCCTTTGCACTTTCTTTTTCAGGTGTGTTTACGTTGCAGTATTTAGGGGAGGAAAAGACCAGGGGGGGAGGCATAGGTGAGCTGGGAAGTATGAGTTGTGTATACACTGAGGAGCTCAAAGGAACCTGAGGGACTTGAGTTTATAGAGGAGGTGGAGATGAAACTGGAGGATGAAGAACTCACTGGACGTGTGGTTTCCAATTTAGTTTGTTGAACGGCAGATGCTGAGGAGTCGTGAATCTAAACCTGGAGTGTTCGGGACCTAGGTAATGTTTGGAAGGAGGTGGGGACAATGTTTGAGGAGAGGTTGATGGCACCATTGTCTTGGTAGCGGTTGATGGTGACATGGTTGTTGCGTTCCAGTTTCGAGACTGTTCAATAAACTTGAAGGGCGGTATAGTTGGGAGCGGAATTGTTGACGCTGATCCCAATGGTGGAGTTTATATATTTCAGCGATGCAGGGGTTTCTTAGGGCATCATTGATGAGCATGGCGAAGCAGAGGGTCCCATCTTGGCGCCTTGGGGGACGTTACAGGTGAGTGACTGAAAGGTGAGGACAGCCCTCGAAGCGTACAGCTTGGCGTCGGTCACTGAGGAAGTCTGAAGTTTATGGTATGAGATTCTCCGAAGCCTGCTGGAGGTCATAGGGGTTTTTATGGCGATTATATTGTGGCCGACTCAGGTCGAACGCTTTAGTGGAAATCAATGAAGGCGACAGCTGGAGCAGGACGCTTTTCGCTCGAGATGGCGGTATATAATCGAGAAAGCTGACAAGACAGTGAGTGGTGGAGGAAGCTTTATGTTACAATTGCTGGAGGGTCTATGGACTCTGCAATATCAGTAGGCCCACAAACACAAAACTTCAAGCAGATTAGGCTGGGTATTGGGGTGATTGGGAAAATAGGTCGTAGCTGACGGCGGGATCAGGGGCTGGGTTGACTTGGCACTGTGACACAAGAGGTCTTCTCCAGTCAGCTGCATCTACTTGACTGAGAGAAGCATTGATGATGGAGCAGAGGGGTTTAGCAAGCCCTGGGGAGAACTCTTGAATAGGTTTCATTGTGTCAATGGGGTGTGGTGTAGAGTTGCTCAATTTTTAGCTTGTCCAGGCGTTTTACATGTCAAATTCTACTGTAAGCTTTCAAAAAGGGGGCTGGGTAAGCAGGAGAGTGGTTGTGCCGGCTTTCAGGGAGCGTCTGGCATATAGTATGAAATGGTTATTTGTTTGCTCAGCTGCGCTGAAGTGAGATGCTAAGGAAGGAGGTGGCCATATTGTTTATCCAGAGTCTTTAAGCTTACCACATCATTGACTGATGTTGGTCTGCTTCAGGTGCTAGAATTTGCTGCAGGGGACTTTCAGAAAAAGTGGTTTCGCGGATGACTGCTGCGAAGTGACCTGGAAGCGTGGATGTGGCTGCTGAGATGAAATGCTCTGTCTCTGCTTACAAGTCTGATCTGAGGTGTGAATCCAGGCAAGCTGGGCTAAGAGGATCTGACGACTTCCTCGTGAAGAAGCGGTGGTGAGCTTCGGTGGAAAAGTATAGTTTATCCATTGGTTTCCACGTCAACCACGTTGAGTACTCAGTCCAGGACAGTGAATTATCCACTGTCTAAAGAGGCAATTGCAGAGTCAGTGTAACGGCCTGTAGGTCTTGGATGTAGGGTCTGTAATGGAGGAGTACAGCAGGGGACAGAGAGCATCGATGGCGTGTGCTACACCTGACAGGAGGCAGTGGTTATGAGGTTGGTACCAACCGCTGTCAGTTAAGATAAGGTCAAGGGTGTTTTGGACGTGGGAAGGTCATGACTTGTGATAGTGATAGCTGGTCCTGATATCAGTGGTTAATTTCATTTAAATCCCCACATAATACTAATGGCAAGTGTTGAAGGGGTACTAACCTGAGGTGGTCTGAGGTGGTGATGAGATGATTGATAAGAGTGTCTCTCTGTGTGATTGAGGCATGGTATACCACACAGATGATACGGGAAGCAGGCGTGGTGCCTGCAATGACACACGTACCCCATAATGCTCTACATCTAACTGGGGACTTGAAATATCCAGGCGTGACGGGCGTAGGTCATCTGACAGAAGAGGGCAACGCCCTCCGCGCGTCTTTGTGGACGCATGTGATGAAAGAGTTGATATCCTCTACCGTGACACGTTCAGGTAATAATTTGCTGTTCACATATGGCAAAACTTACGCGCGCGGCGGTTGACCTGACTGTAGTTGCCAGCCTTGCTGAACTGTTAGCCAGGGGTTGACGCGATAGCAGTGCATGGGAGATCATACTACGTCCAGGGAACTTCAGTGATGGTGGCGGTCTGTCAGTGTTTCTCCGGTTTCCAGTGATGCTGCGTTCTAATGGCTTGCGCATGACGCATTTTGTCTGATGGCCCGCGCGTGGAATATTTTCAGACTTGAGTAGCGCGATAACACTTCATCAGATAAATCCGTTCACGCCGATGATACAGAGTGTCGAGTAAGTGATTGCGTTACCGGTTGAAATCGGCAAGAGTGAAGTGTTCGTCACTGGCGGCACTTTGAGGGACACTGACACTGGTAGACATCTGTTAATGTTTGTCAGTTGTAAAGACCGTGGACTTTGTCCTCGGTGCTTGGGGTCGCCGACACAGTTTTCACGATATATGTAAACACCGCGGTGGTCCTTGTCACTGGCACTTTAAAGTTGACCGATAAAGTGCCCACTGTCTGACTTTTCCTTGGGGTGCACTATCGAGCACTGTATGGTAATCACTTATTGCACTGATGGCTAGAATGTTTTGCCGAGAAAGTTCCTTAAGTGCACTATAGGAACACTGCTCCGTAATCATTCGTTCACTAATCACTAGAATGTTTTGCTGAATCGATCCTGGTGTGGTAAGGCTGGTAGGGCGTTGGGGTATACCAGGGGGGGTGGGCAGGGCCAAACAGATTCGGCCTGGCTGCTAAAACCGAGAGCGCCTTCAGGCACGTCCTATCTCACTGAGGGTTGACAAGTGTGTGTGTGTGTGTGTGTGTGTGTGTGTGTGTGTGTGTATACTGTATGTGTTTGTATGTGTATGGATATGTGTAACAGTGAAGTAATACAAACCTAGACATCATATCTGAACACTGTAGCATACTGAGATCTTCTGAGGCCTTAAGGAGACGGGAATTATTATGGAGCTGAGCGAATCTGACCCTTACTGACCAATCACTACCTATAACACACTACATTATAACACGCTACCTATAACAAATTACCTATAACACGCTACCTATAGCAAATTAGCTATAGCAAATTACCTATAACACACTACCTATAACACACTACGTATAACACGCTACCTATAACACAATACCTATAACACAATACCTATAACACACTACCTATAACACACTACCTATAACACACTACCTATAACACACTACCTATAACACGCTACCTATAACACACTACGTATAACACGCTACCTATAACACACTACCTATAACACACTACCAATAACACACTACGTATAACACACTACCTATAACACGCTACCTATAACACACTACCTATAACACACTACGTAAAAACACACTACCTATAACACACTACCTATAACACTATAACACACTACGTATAACACGCTACCTATAACACACTACCTATAACACACTACCTATAACACACTACCTATAACAAACTACCTATAACACACTATCTTTAACACACTACCTATAACACACTACGCATAACACTACCTATAACACACTACCTAAAACACACTACCTATAACACGCTACCTATAACACACTATGCATAACACACTACCTATAACACACTAGCTATAACACACTACCTATAACACTCTACCTATAACACACTACGCATAACAGGCTACCTATAACACTACCTATAACACACTACGTATAGCACACTACGTATAACACACTACCTATAACACACTACCTATAACACACTACCTATAACACACTACGTATGACACACTACGCATAACACAACCTATAACACACTACCTATAACACACTACCTATAACACACAACCTACAACACACTACCTATAACACTCTACCTATAACACACTACCTATAACACACTACATATAACACACTACGCATAACACTACCTATAACACACTACCTATAACACGCTACCTATAACACACTACCTATAACACACTACCTATAACACTCGTATAACACACACCATAACACACTACCCATAACACACTACCCATAACACACTACCTAAAACACGCTACCTATAACACACTACCTATAACAAACTACCTATAACACGCTACCTATAACACACTACGTATAACATACTACCAATAACACACTACCTATAACACACCACCATAACACACTACCTATAACACTACCTATAACACGCTAACTATAACACACTATGCATAACATACTACCAATAACACACTACCCATAACACACACCTATAACACACTAACACACTACCTATAACACGCTACC